TCTGAAGAAGGGTCCCGACCTGAAACGTCAGCTTTCCTGTTCTTCTGATGCTGCCTGGCCTGCTGTGTTCCTCCAGCTCCACACTGTGTTATCAATGTGATTTCCTGTTGTTTCTGTCTGCAAAGAACAGAGTCCTGTGTATTAATTTACATAGCTTTAAGTACACCATACTATGAGGTCTAACTTAGTTGTTAGCATATTTCTTCATACACTCAGGATTATCCAAAAAACATTGTTCTGTTGCAGAATCACATCTAGGGTTGGAAACTGCATTGCGAGGTTGGCAAGCAATGGCTGGTTAGATACGGCCATCCTGTTTCTTGTCACAAGCAACCAATGGAATAGTCTGTTTAATACGCTCCACCAGTCTTTGAGGTATTCTTGCAAATTGTCCTGATGTTTGCAAGATGAAGGGCTTTGACAAAATGTGTCTTTTGTCACTGATACTATAATGTGTATTAATGCTAACACTACAATAACATTGAAACGGAAGAACTCAACACTGTGTCTGTCCACACAGCTATTGATTTTTTAAAAAAAATTTAAGCCTTTTTTGTTTCTCCCATGCCTCCTGTCCTGAAAGTCGAATTTCATCCTTGTGTACAGTTCCATGTTGTTATGTATTTTCCTGGATGATCACAGTGGCACTTAGTGGTATTTGCCCCTTCTGCCAGTCTGTGGTACTGGGTAAGGGCTGTTTGAAGTCACCACTGCCACCAATCCTGCTTCGATTTTGCTTTGTCTGGGGACTCTCGATCCATTAGTGGTACAGGATACACCATTGTAGAAGAAGAACTGTTCTTCACTAACAAGAACACTTACTATATGACAGCAACAAGTACAACCACATTTGGTCAGGCAGAATTACTAGGAACTTAGAGAGCTGGCACAGACTCATTTAATCCCTCTGAAATCTAGAAGAGAACTCTTTGTCTCCATCCACAGACTGTGTGTGACATCAGTAGAATGGGTGGAGCTAATATAACATGAACATTAACTCCTTTGGAGCTGGAAATTGATACAACAGTGGTCATGATGCAACATTTCACTCAGCTGACCAGTCTCTCTCTGTCGATGTACACCATACCTGGCTGTCTGATCTCAGGGGCGCTAGTCAAATCTTTTCTACACCCAAACACATTCATTTTCTAGCAGGAATCACGGAGATATGATGTTGATTAAATTTGATTTTTCCCCCTTGACCCCACTCTCTTCGCTCCCCTCACCTCCTCCCACCAGTGCTCATCTCAGTCACACAGCCTTGGTCCAGTCTGGCTGAGATCAACAGAATGATACTGGGAGTACGGGGTTACATTATAAGAACAAGCTGCATTAACATGTAGTATTCCTTGAGCCTGGAAGATTGAGGGATGATGTGTCCAAAGTGTTCATAATCTCACCTTACATCTATGTCCTCTATGTTTGAATTCCCATACCCTTGGAAAAAAGACCAGCGCTATTCCCCCTGTCCATACCCCTCCTGGTATTGTAAACCTCTATAAGGTCACCCCTCAGCCTCCAACGCTCCAGGGAAAGAAGTCCCAGACTATCCAGCCTCTCCTTATAATCCAGTTCCAGCAACATCCTTGTAAAGTTTTTTTCTGCACCAGGCGACTAGAATTGTATGCAGTATTCAAGAAGTGGCCTCACCAATGTCCTGTAGCAAAATGACATCCCAACTCCTATAGGGCTTACAGCAAATCCAGTCCGTTTCGTTCCAAATGTATGAATAAGAAACAAGAGTAGGCCACTTGGCTGTTCAAGTCTGTTCCTCCATAGTTACGGCTGATCCGATTTCAACCTCAACTCTACGTTCCTGCATACCCCTGAAAATCTTTCATCTCCTTACTCTCCTTAAAAACAAGCGCTTTCAATCATCTTCACCCTCACTGTGTCCATATCTTTCCAACTTCATTCTCTCTGTCCATTTATGCAAAACTGAGCTGGAAATGTTGACACATTTCTGCTTCATCTGCTAATTTTGGAGGTGAATTTCATTAACTCATGAATTTCTGTGATAAGAGATTTCTCCTTTATTATCTCTTTTATTTATTGTTGTATTTATGGGCAACTCTGCTCTTAACCTCACAATTGCTAGAAGCACTAACAGTGAGTACTGCAGGAACACAGCAGGAATGACAGCGTCTGTAGGGTACTGTACTTGGAAGTCCATCTCTGTTTCTCTCTCCACAGATGCTGCCAGCCCTGCTGAGTTTCTCTAGCACCTTCTGTTTTTGTTTCAGCGTCCGCGGTTCTTTGGGTTTAACTACTGGAAGCAGTCTGCCTCTGTCCACCCAGTGACTTGTTTTATTATTCATTCATGGGATATGGGCGTTATCAGCTGGGCCAGACTTTATTGACAATCCCTAACTGTCCTTGAGAAGGTTGTGGTGAGTTGCCTTCTTGAACTGCTGAAGCCCAGCTGCCTTAAGTGGACACAAGATTAGAATTCTGATCCAGTGACAAGGAAGGAACTGTTCCAAATCAGGATGGTGAGTGGTTCGGAAAGGACCTTGTAGTGGCTGGTGTTCCCATGTACCTGCTACCCTTATCCTTTTAGGTGGTAGATGTCATATGTTTGATGATGCTATCTAAGGATCCTTGGTGAGTTGTTGCAGTACATCTTGTGGATGGTACACATTGTGCATAGGTGATGGAGGTGTTATGAAGATGAATGTTGAAGGTGTTAGATGGGATGCCAAACAAGCTGCCTTGAGTGGTGTTGGAGCTATACTCATCCAGGCAATTGTGCAGCATTCCATCCTGACTTGTGCCTTCCAGATGGTGGGAAGACTTTGAGAAATTTGGAAGTGAATTACTCAGCACAGAAGTCCCAGTCTTTGACTTACGTTTGTAGCTACTGTACTTGTAGACTAATACAGTTCAGTTTCTGATCAATGATAACTTCCAGGATGTTGATATGGGGGAAATTCAGCAATGATAATGCCATTGACCGTCAAAGGGAGATGGTTAGATTATTTCTCATTGGAGATGTCTATTGCTTGCCAATTGTGTGGCGTGAATTGTTACTTGCCACTTATCAGCCCAAGCCTGAATATTATCCTTTCACAAATTTATAGACTTGTAGCTTATCACTTCGGAACATGTGCTGAAATTATGTTTGTATTTCCTCCTCTCACTTCCACAATGGTGTCCAAAATTCCAAACATTACTAATTGCAAAATAAACAAACGCAGCACTAAGTACCGCTTCTATAAAGTTCCCATTGAACTCCATGTAGGTACTTTGATTGGCATTCCAATTAGTTATGCCCAGGTTTCTGCTGGATGACTGTGAAATTGTTGTGCAAGAGTTAGTCAAATGTGGTGCAAATTAATTGCTCTGCACATTAGTTCCAGCAAAGCTGTAAGCTCCTTCACATCTGTGCTTATGATTTCGCTGCATATGCTACTCTTTTTATAACTGAACAGCGTTGGTATTAGAGATATTAGGAACTGCAGATGCTGGAGAATCTGAAACAACAAGGTGCGGAGCTGGATGAACACAGCAGGCCAAGCAGCATCGTAGGAGCAGGAAGGCTGACGTTTCGGGCCTAGACCCTTCATCAGAAATGGGGGAGGGGAAGGGGGTTCTGAAATAAATAGGGAGAGAGGGGGAGGTGGATAGAAGATGGATAGAGGAGAAGATAGGTGGAGAGGAGACAGACAGGTCAAAGAGGCGGGGATGGAGCCAGTAAAGGTGAGTGTAGGTGGGGAGGTAGGGAGGAGATAGGTCAGTCCAGGGAGGACGGACAGGTCAAGGGGGCGGGATGAGGTTAGTAGGTAGGAAATGGGGGTGCGGCTTGAGGTAGGAGGAGGGGATAGGTGGGAGGAAGAACAGGTTAGGGAGGCGGGGACGAGCTGGGCTGGTTTTGGGATGCGGTAGGGGGAGGGGAGATTTTGAAGCTTGTGAAATCCACATTGATACTATTGGGCTGCAGGGTTCCCAAGCGGAATATGAGTTGCTGTTCCTGCAACCTTCGGGTGGCATCGTTGTGGCACTGCAGGAGGCCCAGGATGGACATGTCGTCTGAGGAATGGGAGGGGGAGTTGAAATGGTTCACGACTGGGAGGTGCAGTTGTTTATTGCGAACCGAGCGTAGGTGTTCTGCAAAGCGGTCCCCAAGCCTCCGCTTGGTTTCCACGATGTAGAGGAGGCCAC